TTAGGATCATAGAACGTGTGTTAAATAGGCATAACTATCCCATTATTACTTAAATATGATCATTAGGTGTGAACACCCTCTGACGCATCAGTGACAAATATTATGTCAGATGCTATTCTCAGTTTTGACTTGAACCATATGTTCCCGTGTTTTTTCAGGTGAAACACTGACTTGCCTTTGCATGTGTTTGTGACGGTTGTCACCTGTTGGACAGGATACGCTCACCTTTTCGAGAACACCTGGTATCGTCAATATTTGATAGTGATTCGTAAATACATGCTCATGATATAGTGGGAATCTTACAATTCGTCTCAGCTCTTGGCAGAGAGTTCTTGTTAACTTGGAAAGGGTTTTGTGGCTTTTATTTAATTACTTGGTTTACGGAAATAAAATTGTATTTTAAAGAACAGAATTTAATGTTTACACGCTGTGATAAAAAACACTTCAAAGGAGGGATGCACGAGTGACCAACTCGTCGAAGAGCGCAAAGTTCTGTTCCCAGAAACCTATGATCGTCGGTTCGAATCCAAGACTCGCCCCGATTATGTATCTAAGTTTTGTATGGACATTGAAAAATACTTTCCATGTATTATTTTCAATCGGTATAACTACGAATCATAAGTAAATATATACCTGTAAAAATACTTTTAGTTTTTGAAATTGTATTAGGTGTCAAGTTTCTGACGAAACACATGTTTTTGTTTACAAAGTGATATTCGTATATCAACTCAAAGAAACCGAATTCGATGGCCATGTTGTATGTACTTCTATCGTTATTTGGCTCCCCTTTCGCTTGCCGGAAACACATGTGGTGAGCGTGCAACCTTTCAGCAGTAATCAGTATTTTCTCATGCATGAAAAGGGGGTACGGGTGGCCCAGTCGTCTAAGGCGCCGCGATTCGCTTTGCAGAGTTGCGTCCCTTGGGCACGCCAGAAACCTATGATTGTGGGTTCGAATCCCGGTTCGCCCCGATTATGTTTCTAGGTTTGTCAGCACCATACCCGTGCTCGTGGGTTTCACCGAAGTGGTAAACGTCTAAGACCTGCATCACTTCGGGCTTTCCTCCCACATTAAGCTGACACGCCGTGATATGACTGGAATACTGTTAAAAGCGGCGTTAAACCCAACTCACTCACTCACTCATGCATGAAAAGTCCCGTTAAGATCCGGGTTAGAATACGTCATCAGTCACCCATGCTTGTAAGAGGCGACTAACGGGATCGGGTGGTCAGGCTCGCTGACTTGGTTGATGCATGTCATCGTATCCCAATTGCGTAGATCGATTCTCATGATTTCAATCACTGGAAGGTCTGGTCTAAACTCGATTATTTACACACCGCCGTCATATAGCTGGAATATAGCTTCCCTCTACCCCCCACCACCAAGGTATATACTTACATAAAGTCAACCCTTGTCGTAATGCGTTGTTTATAGTGTGTCGTTTTTTAAACAAATATTGGAAAACGGAGCGCCAATCAAAATTTTCACAGCGTTTTCCACCCTTTCAGTCTGTTGATAATTTTCAGTAAGTAAACAAATAACAACTTCAAAATATTTCACTCGACTGATAGTTCTTTCCGGTTATCAAATAGGAAGTATTTTTTGAAAATATATTTTATTGACACCACAGACCATAAGGTTTTGGAAACAAAATCCTTAAACCAGGGTATAAAATTCCCCCAAATTGGAAAGTTACGAGACCGGATAAACAGTTCAGAGTTTTCTAGACAAACGAACAACAGTATCCAAAGGGTAAACATAAGAATAGTAATGATTTTGTTAATTTAAGTTCTCAGAAAATAACAAAAAACTGGTGGATTGTCGACTTTGTAACTTTAACTCATTGAAATTTTATTTATCAATAATGTGTTTAACGTTTACAGTTAATTTACCTTGCACATTGAATTAAAACTAGAATGTTAATTTAGGGGATACAATAATAGCCCGACTATCGGGCGTGCGATTTTCACAACTGATCGTCCGTAAAATAGACCGTCCCGGACTGTTGGGAAGGTGGGTATTTTAAACACTGCTTTAACCAAGTAAATGGAGACCTAAATGCAAAAAGAAACATTATATGATATGGCATATCCTGGCTATCCCATGTAAGAAGTCCTCAACACCTCATGACGCAGTTGTCTATTTGAATGAGGAGCGGGTAGTCACAGTGTGAGTGAGTGAGTGAGTGAGTGAGTTGGGTTTAACGCCGCTTTTAACAGTATTCCAGTTATAGCACGGCGTGCCAGCTTAATGTGGGAGGAAAGCCCGAAGTGATGCAGGTCTTAGACGTTTACCACTTCGGTGAAACCCACGAGCACGGGTATGGTGCTGACAAACCTAGAAACATAATCGGGGCGAACCGGGATTCGAACCCATAATCATAGGTTTCTGGCGTGCCCAAGGGACGCAACTCTGCACAGCGAATCGCGGCGCCTTAGACGACTGGGCCACCCGTGCCCCCAGTCACAGTGTGAGATCTGGTAGAGTGTGTCATCGTAATACACTCATACCTTCAACCACAAGTTTGACCGATTACTGACAGTCCGCCGTAATATATATCACTGGCTGGGGCGTAAAATAACATTCACTCACTCGCTTCATCAATTTACAGCTAAGAATTCTCTTTTTCTCTTTGAGAATATGACTATATCAGACGAGACAGACATTGCGACCAGCAGAAATAAAACGTCTTTTGTGACGATATACCGTTTAATCATATGGTTAAAAATGAAATAAATGGGCGTCGCGATATTTCGTTTAGAATCACGATATATTTTCGTGTGGTACTTTTCGGCTTAATGTCACATTTGACTCAACCGCACGTGCAGCACACAATCCCACGAGCTGTACAAGACACAACTATGCTTCGTGTGCACAATGAACGATCTCTCATTCGACACAGCGACAGAAGTCGTGAATGATAATGTTCGTCACATGTCAATCGTGCGTTGTCAAACAACAACTTCTTAGAATGCTAGTGTGGCGGTGTAGGCTAGTGGTTAAAGCGTTCGCTCGTCACGCACGCCGAAGAACGATTGCCGACATGGGTACAATGTGTGAAGCCCATTTCTTGTGTCACTCGCCGTGATATTGCTGGAATATTGCTAAAAGCGGCGTAAAACCACACTCACTCAATTCTTACACCTGAAAACAAATTCGTATTGAGACTTTTTCTGAACAAAAAACATAACCTTCAAATTAAATTTCAACCCGAACTCCTTGACAACGACCGAGAATCTTCAGCATTTCACGTGATACATTGATCAATCTTCGTCATAGTTACACAGTACGAATTCAACCATTGGTTTTCACGAACAAGATTTTCCAATCTAAATAAAAGTAAACAATAATATCGTTTCACACGCGTTCGTACGGCATCTATGCACACAGAGTTCAATTATTTTGTTCCAGGAACCTTCCAGTTCTCATGAAGTTTCTTTTCGAATCCCCAAACCGAGGATCGAGGTTGGACTGGGAATCTAGGAACGCTATACAAATTACAATTTAATGAAATTAAACTTTACAGTCTCTACTCGACTTTTTTCTTAAGCGACTGGGGATTCTTTTTAACAAAATGACATTTTCTAGTGCTGTGTTATTATTAGAAGAAATACGAGTCATAGCAATATAAATCTTTGGTGTTCACTCAAGTGGAGACAATGGTCTTGTATTACTTAAGCCTTGTTTTGTTTTATGAGGAGAATGTATGTCCTTCAAAAGGCCGCTACTCAATCATCCACGTAAATGTTCTCAGTGAAATACCGATAAAACTAACTTGCCGAACTAAATGAAATAGTTATTGAAGATAAGATATTCAGTTACCGTACTCACAGAAAAAATCGTATCATTATTTATTATTACAAGTAGTATTAATACTTTTATGTTTTTATGGTATTAGTTCGATCTGTAGATTTATAGGCGTAACGACCTTTTTAAACAGGATCCCGCGCGCACTTTGTACATAAAACGGAACTGGACACATATGGCTTCTTTTCTATTAAAGAACTATGGGTACGGTTTCGACCTGAAAATTAGAATGTGAAAAAAAAATCAAATAGCACCGTGATTACTTTACGCCCGAGCTCTAGTGTACATCGCGGAGTGATTTATGATACAGTGGACGTGATTGCACGCGTCATTGCGGAGTGATACACTGTCCTCGGGGAGTGATAATGAAGTGATTGCGTAGAACAGATCCCTGCACTTCAGATAGAAATGGGGTCCAAATGTTGTCTTTCCAATGCCGATGCATTGTCTCAAGCTAAACGACCCAACCTTTGTTGCTTTATGTTAATTTTAGAATCTCCCAATATGAACAATTTAACGTTAAAGGGTCGTTTATTGATTACCTACAGAGGCTTCGACGGGGTAATTTTGCTGATCTTGTGAACGTTGAGACATTAAAGGTGGTTCTTGCAAAAGCCGATCAATACAGTTGTACGCAATCAACAGAAACAATCATAAATCACCACACAGCAAGGTTATGGCTTTTAAACAAATGGAGTAAAAGAAAAATTGAATATTGGATATGTGTTATTTGTTTGTTTTTAACGCTACACTCAGCAATATTCCAGGTTTATAACGGCAGTTTGTAAATAATCGAGTGTGGACCAGAAAATACATTGATTGACATCATGAGCATCGATCCACGCAATTGGGATACGATGACATGCATCCACCAAGTCAGCGAGCCTGACCACCGGATCCCATTAGTCGCCTCTTACAAGAATAGTCTCCTTTTACGGCAAGCATGTGTTATTTGATAAGTGAAAAATACAACTCAGAGACAGTTCTTTGAATCAAATTTCAATAGAACTTTGATATAACACAAAGGCCACGTTATGAAAAAATGCCTCTCATCACCAAAACCTTGAAATAATCGACGTGGTCCTATTTTATTTTTTAAACTAATAATTAAAATCCCAATCCGACTTTTCATGCCTACCCTTTTAGAAGCAGGAGAATGTTTACCCGGGTTGATGCAAAATATGACTCTTACCTCGACAGGAAACGATATGCTGGCTATCCTGTGTTCCGATCCGGTGTTATCTGAAGTTCCAAAATGAAACTTGATTTCCGAAACTGTGTAATTGTAGGAAAGTGGTCCGACGCTCATGTTGATACTGTTGTAACCCTCGGACGTGATGTGGAGGGAGATGTCGTGACCGGTGTTGACTAGCAGCCCCTTCACCTGGAATACGTCATGTAAAAACATTTACTCCAATTCCTCCGAATATGATATTTTTTGTACTTCGGTGCAAGAACACACTGGCATCCATATACATTGTAACGGTATGTCCCTGACCCCGGGGGAATCCGTCGTATAGCGGCAATATTGCTGACTGAGGCGTTGTTTCAGGATTTTTAAAATAGATTTTGTTTCTCTGTACCGAGAAGCTTATTATAAATATAAAGTTATCTGTAAATTAATATAGACATTTGCTTGATTTCATCGCATGTATCCCCAGACCCCGAATTACAACAGGTTTCTAAGCGCCATCACAGTGCAATTCTATTTTTCTGTTACTTGAGTGAGTAAATTGTGTTTAACGCCGCTTTTAATAGTATTCCAGTTATATCAAGGTGTGTCAGCTTAATGTGGGAGGAAAGCCCAAAGTGATGCAGGTCTAAGACGTTTACCACTTCGGTGAAACCCACGAACACGGGTATGGTGCTGACAAATCTAGAAAACATAATAGGGGCGAACCGGGATTCGAACCAACAATCACAGGTTTCTGGCGTGCCAAAGGGAGGCAACTCCGCCCAGCGAATCGCAGCGCCTTAGACGACTGGGCCACCCGTGCCCCCTATGTTACTTGAGAACAGTGGTTCATATACAAGAATAATTAGTCCGACAGCAATGATAGATCAGGTAGGTTCATGTACAGGATAATAATCCTTATACACCGAATGCTTTCACCGAGAAAAGCACGTTGTACATTATGAAATGGTGTTGTTATGGATAAAAAATGTAAAATGTAAATTTTACAAATAGACTTTTGTGGAGACATACGATCTACAAAGGTATGTAAAGAACATTGTGCGATATACTTTACGTTAAGGATAAAACGCGACTTCACCAAAACCGAGGAGGAGGGTTTTGTTCTACGTGTGAACCGTCTAAATGCAAGACAAACCCGAATAAATAAGAAAACATCGACATACCTCATAGTGAAACAATACAGTGTGTCGCGGTATAAAAGGAATTCGACCTAAGCGTGAAATATCACATGCAGCATGGACCAACTGGAGTCATTACATGTAAAGTTGAACAACATTTGGTCACCTACCCCGGTGGCTGAGTTGGAAAACATTTGGTTACAAAATTTTCATGTGAAAACAATTGTGACTTTTAACCAATAAAAAATCAACATTATTTTAATATATAAAAGCCAGTTTACAAAACGTCAATTGTAAAACCAAGGTCTTACAATTGAAAAATGAAACCTAAAAGCAGGTTCAGAACTGACCCAGTTCAAAACCTAGGTTAAGAAGTAACCCTAAACAAAGCCGGGTTTGGAAGATGAGATGGTTACTGATTTACTTTCCGTCTAGGTTAAGACGAGGTTGTCAGGAAACCTAAAGAAATTTAGGGTAATGGGTGATCGGGTCTAAAAGGGGGATTCTGTTCTCTGATACTTTCATAAACTGGACAAATCAGAAGAAAATGAAACTGAGTTAGTTGGGTTTAACGCCAGTTTGAATATTATTTCAGTTATATCACGAAATGACAGCGGGATGTGATAGGAAAGCCCGTAGCGCTACTGTTACACATGGTGAGTGGGTGAGTGAGTGAGTGAGTATGGTTTTACGCCGCTTTTAGCAATATTCCAGCAATATCACGGCGGGGGACACCAGAAATGGGCTTCACACATTGTACCCATGTCGGGAATCGAACCCGGGTCTTCGGCGTGACGAGCTAACGTTTTAACCACTAGGCTACCCGACCGCCCCGATACACATGGTGCTGACAAACCTAGAAACATAATCAATACAAATCTTGGATTCGAACCCACGAGTGTAGGATGCTGGCGCGCCTAAGGTACGGAACTCTTCACATCTAACTGCGGCGCCTTAGACGGCGGGGCCACCCGTTTCCCCTATCTATAATTCTTAACCTGTATTAAAAAAATCATTTAGTATTATTTCTGTCATGTAAATAAATTGCAAAGAATTTCATTAAGCAAAATATCATTACCAGCACAGGTATGGGTTAAAAATAGAACCTCTTAAGGATACAGTGATGCAAAGCATCCATCGTTTTTGGCACTGTTTGAATTGAAACTGAGAGGCAGAACAATATGGGACACTGATGCGCGTTGTTCCGGTGACGAAAGCTAACCCACGGAGACATGTCTGTCTGAACGAGGCTTTCCATCAGGGACACGCTGGGTCAGCTCCAGACAGCGCCATGGCCCTGTATCCGAGTTCTGTCTACCAACTTCCGTTTAACACAGCTGCTTTGTGCAGCAGACGACTCGCCCGTCTTCAGTCGACGATGCACACTCCGGCACAGTGATGTCTTTGGAGAACACCACTTCCACAAGCTAATTTGCATAACACTTGATCCGACGTTTCTCTTGTTTGTAAACAAGCGCGCTTCTTCTGAAATCTGAGTAGACTGCCCTAATGGAAGCTTGTCGGCGCTATGTATATTGTTTTGCATAAGTATATATAAATATATATGCGCCAACTACAAAATGAGGAGAACTCCATTGGGTTTGACGACATCCCGTCTAGCCGCACTACCAATGTAAACAACGCGACCCGTGAAGATCCGGGTTAGAATTGGTCATCAGCAACACATGCTTGTCGTAAGAGGCAACTACGCTCGCTGGTTGATGCACGTCGTCGTATCCTAATTGCTTAGATCGATCCTATTGATGTTAATCACTGGACTGTCTGGTCCAGATTCGATTATTTGCCGTCATATAGCTGTCATATAGCTAGAGGTGAGGTGAGGTGAAATGGGCTTTAACGTCGCGTCCAAGATTATTGCATTTATATAGCGACGTGTGTGTGTGTGTGTGTGTGTGTGTGTGTGTGTGTGTGTGGCTGCTTGTACTAGTCCGGAATGATGCCAATTTATAGAGCTAGCTCACAGAGATACCATGCCGCAATTTAACATGAATACCCCCTCAGACACAGTATACTGACTCCGAGCCGACCAGTCCTTGTTTTAGCCCCTTAATGCTGAGCGCCTGACAGGGTAACAACAAGTACCATCTGTTAACGTCTTTTGGTATGACGCGGCCGGGGATCGAACCCCGGACCTTCCGCTCTCCGGGCGGACGCTCTACCACTAGACCACGGAGGCGGTGTTAAACGAACAATGTCAGGGACTGGGAAAAAAATATTGGCAGCAGTTCACGAAACACAGTCCCACTTTATCAATCAAGTAGTAAGTACCAAAAGTGAACTAAACACATGGAAATGTTTGTAAAAAATCGCGTCAAGACCAGACAATCCAGTGATTGACATCATGAGCATCTTTCTACGCAATTGGGATACGATGACATGCATCAACCAAGTCAGCGAGCCTGACCACCCGATCCCTTTAGTCGCTTCTTACTACAAGCATAGTCGCCTTTTACGGCAAGCATGGGTTACTGAAGACCTATCCTAATCCGAATCTTCACGGGTCGGAGAGTATAGGTTAACTATAGGTGAACTATAGGTTAACTATAGGTTCACTGTAGGTTAGCTTCATATTGGAGGAATGTCCATTGTGACGCAGGCGTAGATGTTGACGAATCAGGTTTGGGCATGGTTCTGAGAAACCAAGAATCAGAATCAATGCTAGAACGGGATTCGAACGAATGCACATCAAACCCTGGTTGCATACGATATACATTTGATAGTAAGTTCGCGAAGCGATATATATTTGATAGTAAGGTCGCAATGCGATACGTATTTCATAGTAAGACGTTCGCAGTACGATACATATACTTACGGCCAAAAGAAACCTTTCCACTTTACAAAAAAATCCACAGGTTCAAATTGAATCAATGCAAAACATATCGTCCAAACGCAACAATGCTCTATGCACGTACAATAAGGGTATATAAATGATACCGACAGCATGTCAGACACCCATTCTGATACAAAAAGCCACCACAGAAATGCCACGATTGACACCGGTAGAACGCGAGCGGGACCTGGGTATGATAGAGATGGGAGACACCCATGCCCACATTACTAGAACTTTTGGTTGCTCCCGTGTTGCTTCAGACATCAGACATCAGACAGGACAGACACCGGACATGCCAAGAAAAGGCAGATCCAGAGTAACTACGCCCAATGGAGACCGGTACTTGCGTACTATGCATTTCCGTAATCGATTTCTGACAGTGACGTCATCAGCAACGAATGCCTTAGGGCATATGGTTACTCGACAGACAGTGGCCTGGCGACTTAGGGCTCAAGGAATTAAGGCATACATCCCTTACAGAGGACAGTTATTGGCAGCGCAACAACGTCGTCAGAGATTGAGAGGCCCGGGCTGTACGTCGTTGGGAGCGATGTGACAGGCAGAGGGTCGTCTTCACTGATGAAAGTTGGTTCTGTCTGTTCAGAGCTGTTTACCGCCGAACGGCGACATGTTGCGTTCAGGGCGTCGTGCCGTATGGTGGAGGAGGTGTTATGGTGAGGGAAGGAATTTGTGGGCAGGGGAGAACACCAGTGGTTACCGTTAACGGAATGCATTACCAGTCCTACCACGTGGTGTCCTTCATCAGCATGACCACATCAGACCCTCACACTCCTTGCAGCCAACATCATCTACGTATTGCCGTGGCCTACACGCTCCCCAGACATCCCCCCCCATAGAAACCTCTTGGATGTCATGGATCGTCGTCTTCGACAGCGACCACATCCTCTAGCCAACCGACAAGAACTGATCTAGGCCCTCCAAGAAGAATGGCGACGTATCCCCGTGACGTCTTCAGACTTTTTCTGTGCCCCGGAGAGTTTTTGCATGTCTTGTAGCAGGGGGTGGTCATACAAGCTATTAATGTTACGTGTCATGGAACCTCGGGCGATATTAGATGTTTGTGCCCTTTGTCCATTACGATGAAAGCTTGTTTTTCGCTACACCACCTCGATTCGGCGAACTCTCTTGCCAATATTGGATGCTGTATGACTGTCATTTTAGATGCTGATTTCGTTGAGATTTTGAGATTTTCAATTTCA